AAGTGACGTTCGTGTCTTAATTAGTTTGTATTTTAACGTTTAAAGAGCCACTAAACACCTGTGCCCAGCCTTACTCCGCCCACATGAAGATTTGAAAATTTTCTCTTAAAAGGGCGTTGCCTGGAGGACCAAGGGCCAATAAGGGGGGCTTAGAGTTGGGCGTGGTCTGGGCTGTGATTGACAGCTCACTTGTCACACAAAAAAAAAACAGACAGTTGTCATTGCTGCTTAAAGCTATTGTTTACAGACCAGAAAGTGTCATTCCACCCTTGTTTACACACTAAGATAATTGTAAAGCTACACACCTGAACCTAATCACACACAATAATCTCAGAATTACTCATGTAATGGGAATGGGTTTATATGGTCGGCACTAGATCATTTACGGAATCGGGACGAAACCGGAAGTAACAATCCTACTTCCGAATTAGTTTTAGACAAAAAAGTCCTTAAGTGGTGACTGGTTAAGTTTTAGGTGTCTGAGTAAGATGGTTAAGGTTAGGGTTAAGGGTGGGTTGGGGTTATTTTATGGGAATGGCTGGTTACGTTTAGGCATGAATGGGCTCTATGCACGCACCACTTCCGCGTTTTAGCTAAAGCCCCACCTCACTTTCTGTTCATGGGAAATGGCTTGAGTTTCACTGGAGTTCAGCAGTGGTTTACACGAGTTTCCCAAATAATGCTCAAACGGGGATTAAACTGTGAGGATACTGGGCATTTTTGGGACACAACAGTGCTCTTTGATTGTGCCGTCATTGTGTTTTTATAAAGTTTAAAAATTGCTCTGAGTGGCCACAGTCAAAGCTGTCCTCAGAGAGAAAGCACAGCGACACTTTTGGGTCAGTCTCACAGCTGAATGTATCAATCTAATTACTAAAAAAGTCACTAAAACTCACATAAATGCCATAGAATAGCATAGGCCGGAAGTGAACGGGCTGATCTGCGTTAACAGGAAATGACGTCACGCCTCCCCGTGCATATAGGGTCAGCACTAGATCATAATGTTGTACAAACATAATTTCACTCCTCACACGACTTCACTTTGGAACAACAGATACATTCTTCACAGGAACAAATCTATTTATTACAAGGACTGGATGGACAAAAATATTTGGTGCATTTTTGATTTGATGGACTTAAATGGTAACCTGCTCTCATATGATGACTTTAGCATGAAATGGAATTTTTTTTGTCACCCAAAACAATGTTTTTGTCTTATTAATGCAATTCCAAAACCATTCTTCCTGTTTGCTAGCGAGATTGTCGTTCATTCGAATTCAATCTCTAGGCTACCAATTTTTTTCATAGACAATCTGAATATTTTTGACAAAAAATTTAATAACAGATTTATTAGACAAGTACTCACTAATGAGCTTTATTCGAAACAATACAGCCGAATTCAAGATCTTAAAAAATACAAGCCATCTAAAGTCAAGAAATTACTAACAGAATATCTGAAGTATCCTATTCTTCCTAAGTCCAAAGAAATTCATTTCAAACTTCTTAACAACATATATCCGTCAAGTGAATTTTTACGACAAAGATTTAACTTTGACAGTAATGAATGTACCTTTTGTAAAACTGAAGTAGAAACCACTCGTCACATTTTTTTTGACTGCAAATTTGTTACAGTTTTTTGGAAGCAGATTGAAGAGTGGTTGGGAAAAAAGAATGTATCGGTAAAATTAACGTTGTACGTTGATATTTTATATGGAATGGTTTTGGAAAACAAATTAGAAAACCTGCGGGTCAACGCAATCCTCATACTAGCAAAACACTATATTCATAAATCCAAATTTTTCAAATCTCCTCCTGCTTTTATTAATGACTTTAATCTATATTGCAAATCCTTAAAAGTTATGAAATTAAACAAAGCAATAGAGCTTCTGAATCAAATAAAACAATACAAATTAACTGACCCTTAAAACTGAGGTAAAATGTATCTTTTTTTTATTTATTTTTTATTTTACTACTATTATAGTCTATTTGATGTACAGTCTATAAAATATATATTATGTTTATTTTTCTTTTCTTTTCAACCGTCATATTGCACTGTTTTATAGATTATTATTCTACTCAACCAAATTTGCCTTGAAAAGATTTGAATGGTTTTGTGCCTTGTTGTTTGTAAATGTTCTATAAAAAAAAAATAGAAAAAAGCACTAGATCATATACGGAATCGGGATGGAAGCGGAAGTAAATATAACAATTTACCTATTTATGCCTAAACTTAACCAGCCATTCCCATAAAATAACCCTAACCCACCCTTAACCCTAACCTTAACCATCTTACTCAGACGCCAAAAAATTAACCAGTCACCATTTAAGGACTTATTAGTCTAAAAATAATTCGTAAGTAGGAGTGTTACTTCCGGCTGTGTCCCGATTCCGTATATGATCTAGTGCTGACCGGGTTTATATCACTGGCGCAGACGGACTGACGTCACACAAACCAACTGACGTCATAGAGAATTTCAGAGTCAATGGAGAGGCCAGAACCAAATTCTAATGCAGTCCTGTCACTCCCGTATTCGTCCCGGAAACCGGATTCGTCCGGAAGTTCAGTTTGCTCATGTCAAAAAGTGTAATAAGTCCTTAAGTGGTGACTGGTTAAGTTTAGGCGTCTGATTAAGATGGTTAAGTTTAAGGTTAAGGCTGGGTTGGGGTTATTTTATGGGAATGGCTGGTAAAGTTTATGAATGAACAGGTAGTTTTTTATATTTACTTCCGCTTCCGTCCAGATTCCGTGACGTAATCTACAGCTGCGTATGCTCATTGGATCAAACTGAGCTTCCGGACGAATCCGGTTTCCGGGACGAATACGGGAGTGACAAGTACCACCAAAAAAGGTAGGGACGTTTTTTGGCTCAGAAGTGAGATTTTATCTAATTTGAACTAAAATGTCAAAAAATTACCACAATATGTAGAGAGCACTACATTTAACATATTTATGCAGTTTATGAGTCAAAAAAAGTTGATTTGGTGTTTAGTCATTCTTTAAAGCAATTCATGGACTTTGTGTCGGCCATCTCGGTTGCGCAACCATGCTGCATTACATCATTAACAGCTGGGGGTCACAACTCGGCAGCACCATACCTCGTTCACAGCATCACACCCATAGACTGTATATATTAACGGACAGAGTCACGCCTATCTCCACCAATCAAGATGGCCGCGTGTGGTCCCGCCCACAAGAAAATTGTGAAAAAACGCATCTGCGCATGCGTCAGCCGGCGCAACTCCATTCATTTGAACGAGAGACTTCAAAAATTCCCTGCGAGTAAACTAGAGTGGACCAAAAAAATCCACCCCCCTCAGCATTGACACACATGTGGAAAGGAGCTTTGGGCCAAGAGCCAACTTTTGGACCATCCTGTAAAGACGTTTTTGAGAGGTTAGGGTATTAGATTAGAACGGATTAGTTAGAACGGCGGAGATAGGCGTGACTCTGTCCATTAATATATACAGTCTATGGTCCACCCCCATCGGCCCGGGATGGTATTGCAAGCATGTCAGCACACGTCATTTTGGCCACTTTTGAGCTGGGACCCTCCCCCACTGATCACACCATAGACTGTATATATTAACGGACAGAGTCACGCCTGTCTCCGCCGTTCGAGAGGCTAATTCTTCTTCTGGGTCCACCCCCATCGGCCCGGGGTGGTATTGCAAGCATGTCAGCGCACGTCATTTTGGCCACTTTTGAGCTGGGACCCTCCCCCACTGCATCACACATGTACACTAAATCTACTCAGTCACATGTCATTAATACAACCATACATTCAGAAGATATATATTAACAACACCTTCAGTGCATTTCAAATCTCATCATAAGTCACGGCCCCAGAGCACACCTTAGTGTTCGTGTGAGTGTAGCTGGTGCAGTGTAATTTAATATTCTGTGTGCCAATCGTATACATGCAAATCTTTGAATATTGTCAAAGTTTAACAGTCTGTATTTTTGGAGAGCTAAACAGTGATGGTGATGTCGTGGTTTCCGGTCGAGGATTTTGCGTGATAACCCTCAATATATATATATGATATAAATAATATATCATATATATATAAAATTCATTAAAAATACTGTAAATACTAGGACCAACGCGTTATACAATAATAAAAACGAGACATGATCATTGCATTAAAACAGTCGATGATTAAAATAAGTTTGGGCTCCCTCCAGTGTTAAAGCGTTCCTGATACATAAAGCTTTTATATTGTGATTAAGGCTAATCTATTTGATATGTTTTATAAAGCTAAGGGTGGCATCTAAAATTACACTCAGCAAACAATATGCAATCACATTTTTTACTATTTCCTTTTATGATTATGTTTGGAAAGGAGGCAGTTTTTTATTTATTTACATAGTACATTGTTGTTGTCTTACTGATGTTTAATGTGAGACAGGAATCATGTTGCAACCTTCTTCATTGCTATAAGTTTATTGGCTACTGTTTGAGCGTCCCTTTCCCATGTATAAACAGCCGTGTCGTCCACATACATCTGGACATCCTCACATACAGATGGCAGGTCATTTATAAACATTTTCACTTTTCGTTAAGAATTTTAAAATTAAAAATTATATTTGTTTTAATTTGATGTCAACTAGAAAGGCTAACACTGGATTCTCAAACTGTATGACCATGGACACCAAATTGACTACATTTTGGTCAAATGTATTACCAGCTGCCAGACCAACAGAAGAAACAGCCCCTGAGGGTTGTGAAAACCATTTACTCAATTATTTCAATTGTGGACATGACAAAACACTACATACTATCATTTAATTTAGAAAAGAGTAGATAGGAAAAGAAAGATGGGAAAAAAGTCTTGTGTTGCCTCCTCCTCTTTATTCATATTTTATTTTATTTTATTATTTTTTTGTTTTAAAAGATTTTACCTTAAATCTTACATAAAAAAATGGTTGTTATGGTTAATTAAATCCGTTATTAAGTAAACATTTCATGAAAGGTTTGAGTTTGAGCAAATAAAAGCTGGTGTTATAGCGGAGGGATTGCTTCGTTCTTCATCTTCCCGCTGCTCAGACTGTGGATCATGGCGATCATCGACGAGTGTTTGTTCAGTTCATCCTCCTTCTGCTTCAGTTTTATCTCCAGCTGGCTCTTTTGCTGCTCCAGGGATGAGGCCTGCAAGACAGGAACATACAACTACTTCAAAAGTGTTTCTGTAGTGATAATCTATAAATGACATTATACATATAACCTTTTAACTTTCAATATTCATCTAAAACAATGAAAAGAAAAAAAGTCCTTGCACTTTGGTATTCCAAAATAATAGAGCAGAGCGATAAAGTTCTAGCTTTATTTCCTTTACTTTCCTCAACTTTCTCTGTTTCAGTTGAAGGGAGAGCAGCATTGTGATTGGTTAGCATTCAATTGAAATTATGTTGGACCATTGCTTCTTTGAACAAACTATTGTTATAACATAACAGAGTACAACAATTTAAAATAACATACATTGCTTACAAAGTTACATATAGTTCAATTTTGTTTTAAATTATTAATTATTAAAATAACAATGAGCCAGGTGTCGCTATCTAGCCGGCAGAAGCGTGTCACGTCTGATAACATGTTCTTCCAAAACCTGCACTAATGCTGGTTTCCCCTTCCTTACCTTGATGCTGGCGTCTCTCCTCGCCTGTTGAGTTTTGTCCAGTTCTTTCCTCAGGACGTCCACAGTCTCCTCCAGGTCGCGTCGCTCCTGCTCTTTTTCCTTCAGCTTTTGCGCCTCAGCTCCAAGCTCCAACCGCAAATCTGAAAAAATAAATAAAATCACATATGTAAAGTTGAACTGTGGAGCCATTTGAGACAAAATATACATGTATTTTTTCCAAAAAGGTTTTGTCCTCCAGTCATAGTCCAGACCAAGATATGTCCGTTTTGAGATAGTAAATTCTTATGAGTTTTTCCTTGCCGATGCAGGAGGGTCTGTTGGACAGTTAGTGTCTAACAAAAAGGTTGTGGTTTTGATCCAGGACACTTTAACATTCTACAACACGTATGGACATTTATAAAAATGTGTTTTATATTCTTTTTGTGTCTTAACTGTTGATTCTCTGATCTGTGTTGGTGATTTCAATGGTTTTGTTAAGTCTGAGATGACTACTGTTGTGATTTAGGGCTATACAAGAATTAATTATTTTGTATTATTGAGTATTGTAAATACAAGACCTCTTGGCTGCCTAAATATAATAATGTTTTCACATTACTCTTGGTTCATAGACCGGGTGTTCACAGAGGAACGACAGACTATTTACACATTTCAAACACTCAAATGAAGCGAAGACTATTGCATCACGCTCTCTGTACAAGGGGAAGTCAGCTGTGGAGAATCAGACGCTCTGAGTGGAGAGTTTCCTGACCTGCGATCTCACTGTCTTTTTGCCGTAAATCGGATTGCAGAGATTTGATTTGTTCCTCCTTCTGCTCAACCAACGCCACCATCCTGAAATTACATGTTAGTACATGAAATTCATTATATAAACCATACACACAGTTAGTATAAATGATTGATTGCTAGGAAAGTGTTACAAACCTGTCATTTTGCTGCTGAAGCGCCTCATGGTTTTTCTTCAATGTGTCGTTTTGTTTTGTCAAAGAAATGTGTGCCGCCTGCAGCTCTCTCAAAAGACGCTCGCTTTCATTCAATCTAAATAAACAGACAAAAAAAACAAACACAAGTGGATCAATTATTTTACACTACAGCTACTATCAACCTGGATTTATTCAAACATTAGAAACCTTACATCTCTGAATGAACAAATTGAATAATGGAATGAAAACAATCCAAGTGTCAACCACATCACTAGTTTTCACATGCCCTTTTTGCTCACAAAAGACAAGTGACAAAGAGAGGATTTAGCTCACTCAGCCCAAAGCAACAAACAGAATATAACAGAAATGATATTTTCAGCGAGAATTTGCGGATCCGCAGATAATTCTCATCACTGGTTTATCTTGATGCATTTCATTGGTCCAGAGAATTGATCAATGAAGAGAATAGGTCAAAAAAAAGAAAAAAATACATGTCCGCTTTGCCGGCCTTTCCCGAGAAGTGCGTAACAGCGTTCCTGGCTTGAAAAAACCTAGGAATGCGTTCCCGGCCTCAACGGGTTAATAGGACGATGCTGCTGAAGTTGAATTGGCTTCATTCAATTACCTTCTACATAAAAGCATGTTCAGAAATGCATTTATATTGACTCCTGTTCAGTTGTTCTTGAAGCGCAGCTGTAGATAAGGTGTTGCCTCAGACCTGTGGAGCAGTGTGTTGTAGGCCCCCTTCAGAGTCTGGTGCTCCTCCGAGTCCTGCTGCAGCCGTGTGTTGTGTTTCAGCAGCTCCTCGATGTCAGATTTGCTCCTCTCCACCTCCAGCACCTGATTACCAAGCTCGCACTGCAGCTCCTCGCGCCTGCGCTCCGCCTCCTTCAGCAGCCCACTCAGCTTTCGGGCCTCAAAAGAAAAAGAAAAAGAATGAACAGATTTAACTTGACTTGTTGCTTTCTGTGACTTTTCCAAAAGGGTTTCATTTCCATGACTGTAAAAAACCTTCACGCATGCCCAGAAAAGATTATCTTCATTGTCTACCGAAATGAATCTTTGCCTCACGGCCGAAGAGAAACAAGACCATATAAAAATAGACTTAATAATTAATTTGATTTATTTTATGGGCTTGTGTGTTCCGGCAGTATGTTGAGGGGACGAAGACAGTGAGATTAGATCGCATTGTAAAGTATTTTTCATACAACATTTTGTTTTGGGTGAAATGAGGCTGGATACTATTCAAGGTTAGGGTGAACCCTAACCTACACTACAAATTATTACTGGTACATTATAAAATGTATAGGTCAAAAGAAACCATAACTTTAACTATGTAAAAAGACACCATTTAGGTCAATGCACATTATAGAGATAATTCTTCTGAACCATTGGTATTAGAGATGCACCGATCCAGCTTTTTTACTACCGATACCAATACCAGAGCTATGGGTATCTGCCGATACCGATATTGACCGATACCGGAAATGATCATGCTAAAATGTATTTAATAATTGAACTCTTTGTTCAAGTAACTGCAAAAGCAGTGGATGAACTAAAGCGCCAAACCTCCATCCATCCATTTTCTACCCTTTAATCCATTTCTGGGTCAGGGGGGTGGCAGTCAGAGATGCCACCCAAGTCTCATAGCACCAGCCCCTCACTGACCCTCTGCTCTCTGAGTGTGAGCATAGCCTTGATCTTTCAGCAGGGGCTTTGGGCAAAGTGGGGTTAAGTGTCTTGTCCAAGGACACAACGACAGCAGTCATCAGTGGGAGTCGATGGAGAAGGTCTAGAGGTGGAAATTGAACCCACGACCTTAAGGCCTGAAGGCCAATGCTCTACCAAGGCCAATGCTCTACCAACTGAGCTACTGTCGCCCCTATGTTCATTGGCTTTAGTGGATGAACTAAAGCGCTAAACTTTCCAGATAAAAATGGATTCAACATAATTGTGCAATACTGCAACTATAAAGAGCTGCTCAATGTTCACATTAAACATTCCAACACTGTATTATACCTTATACATTTATTGAATATAAATGTACTTATATTAACTGTGTTTGAATAAAAAAACACTTACAACAAACAAAACACGCTGCATGAAAATGTAAATAAATAATAGTACCGTAGCTTTAACTGGATTTCAGATATGTATTTGGCGACGGCATGTACCTGGGTTCCAAATGGTCTATGGGGCTGCGAGCCCAAACTGATGAACTCCAACACTTTCGGGTTGTTGCTGAAAAGCTTTTTGTGACGCTGCGTCAGTGTCATCTGTGTCTCGTTGTTTTCACATAATCTCCTTTCGATGCAAAAACTCCCCATGCTGTTTCTCGTGGTGCTTAGTCGTGTTGTATTTCGCTAGTTTACCGCCGCGTGAACAACGCTGATTCTTCCCTGCGCTCCATGCTGTGTTGTTGTTGTTGTAGTAGAGCGCCACGAGGAAGTGACGTGTACGTGAGATCTGATAAATTACTTTTAATTAATTAATTTTATACGTACATGTACATTATGCACAATGTATTTTAAGTAGGGCTGTCAAACGATTAATTTTTTTTAGTTGATTAATCGCATAGTAATGATGAGTTAACTCACGATTAATCACATTTTTAACATTCTATTTCAAATCCACTCCAATTGAAGTTAAATGAGATTTTCAAATGTGATGACACATTGTTATTCATACCAAATGTACTTAAATCTGTTTGACTTGCTCACAACCTTCTACTTTTGAGTACAACCAACAAGAGTTGTAAATGAAAGGAAAAATGTAGGTACCCCAGCTTTAATTTTGCGAGTTTGGTTGCATTTCAGCGTGTCTCCGCCTCTCCTCCATCATCAGAGAACATCAGAGAATGGCCCCTGTGCGTGTATATATGCGTGTATTATATGACCACGTTACCGCTGTCACCATCACACACGCACGTGTCCGTGGCATTCTGAGTGATATTATTATAAATGGGCGGGTCATTCGGACATGCGATTGACTGCCAGCCTATTTCAGAACAGGTACCCACAGAATATTGTGTACAATGACTATCTGAAATCCAAAACCAGATTCTGAAAGAATGGACTGTCTACTTTCATCAGCAAAAATAATTTTGTTTCTAGCTTGTTTCGTTCCCCTGTAATCCCCAGTCGAGTAGAGGTAAGTTTTATTGAAATCACCAGAAAGCTGAGAAAAAAGAGGCACTTGTGCATCTAGCTGTTTTCAAACCATTCATAGAGCAATGCTGCCATCTGCTGGCTCGATAAAATATTGCCTCAAGCCTTACATATTTGATACAACAGACATCTGGGAACGTGAAAATAGCGGGAAACGCAATTGACGTGTTAACACGTCAATGGCAGTTCATGCGTTAATTATTTTTTAACGCGTTAATGAAAACGGTAATTAACGTGAATTAACGCGATAATTTTGACAGCCCTAATTTTAAGACATTGTGCGGTACCTGGTATGTATTAAAAAAATATATATAATTTTTTTTTTTTAAAGAAGAAGAAAAAAATTGATCGGCAGCATGGCGCCTCTCTCTATGCAGATATCCGATCCAGTATTTTTTCTGGTATCGGCGCCGATATCGATACCAGTATCGGATCGGTGCATCCCTAATTGGTATATGACTTTCTTCTGAGTCAGAAGTTTAATCTAATATTGTGAGAAAGATAAATGGTAAGTCTCTTTACACAGTCTCTGGAAACTTCTGGTTTCCACTATACATATTTCTGAATCATCGTCAGGGTAAGTTTACCTCCGCTTCAGCTTGCACTTGTTGCACTCGAAACTGAGAAAGGAGTCTGTCGGCCTGAGACAATGCCAAGGCCTTTGCCTCTAACAAATCCTGCAGTCGACTCTCTTTAGACTAAAACAGAAAATACAAGTTAACACAAACTGAGGACCAGAAAGAACTTACGAAGAAAAGGAACATACCTCAAATGCAGAGAGCTTTTGTTCATACACATTAATGACTTCTGACAAAAGTGTATCCTTTGGCTTCTCCTGTAACTAATCAGAAAAAGGCCTTTAGAAGCTTTTAACCAGATCAATGTTAGCTGATTTCTCCTTAAGAGTCTGTAATTTTAAAATACTTTTCTCATACCGCGAGGCCGGTCTGCATCTTGTCTGCTAAACCGTTGACTGTTTTGTGAATGGAGGTGGTTGAGTCCAGAACGCTGCTGTTGGTCCGAGTGGGCGGGTACTCCTGCACAGCAACACGTTTGACTGACAGCTCCGCCTCCCGCTGCCGATAGGCGTTATTGGCAGCAATACACTCGCCCAGGCTGCGAGAACACGCAGCAGTTTTTACAGTCGTTGGAATATATAGTGTACTTTGATAAAACTTCCTACCTCATAATAAATATTACAAACTAAAGGATTAAGGCTTTATAAATTCCAAGACGATTCATCATTCAATCAAAGTCAGGATACACCAATCATTTTGGAGAAAGTCATAGGACTTTACTAAAGGACTGTGTATACTCAGGCATCACTGTGTGTGTTGGCGTTTGCGCTGGACACATAGTTGAATAGCGACCAAAGTTGTTGTATACTCAGGCATACCCACGTACGTGGTTTTGAAGAGAAAGTTGTATTCCCCCTAGGGCTGGGACAACGAATCGACATAATCGATGACGTCGACGCAAAAAATACGTCAATACTAAATATGTATGTCGATGCGTCATACTCAAAACAAAGATGGCAGCGAGTAGTAGCAGTATGGGGCGTTCAGACCGCCACTGGAACGCAGCTTTCACGCACAGTAGATGCACATTCTCTAAATTACAGAGGCTAGGAGTGTTCAGACCAGAAGTCCTGGGCTAACAGAGTTAAACTAGCGGAGTTAGGCTAGCGGCTTTTTGTGTAAAGTTCTTCTCCAAAAGGCAGCTGTGCAGCGTCTCTGTGTCCAAATACCTTCCAGAGACTTTATATAACAGCAGCATGTGGTCAGGGAGGTGCGCCATCAGTTTATTTTATAATTAGACGGTAGACGAGTCTAAGTTGTTATTTGCCATTTGTGAATGAAGATGATTTTTTCAGTAAGCTCGGCCTATGTTCAACATAACTGTTGAATTCTAAATGTTTATTTTCATTATTTTTTATCTCTCTCTAGCTTAAAGCCCTCTAGATTACATTAGTTTTATTTTTAATTTTATTGAACACTAATATCAAGTGTTATTTTCATCTGAAAGAAGAATAATAAGAAGCATTGTTTTCAGTAAGCTAGATTGTTCAAGGCTTCAAGGTTTTATGCTACCTCTGACTAAGAATGTATTATTTTTGAATTTTAAGAGCAATAAATATATTTTGTTAAGGAATTCATGTTTTATCATGCAGATATGTAAATCAACATGTATGCATTGATATTAGTCAATTAATGGGGAGATAATCGAAATCGAATCGAACTGAAAAAATTAATCATTAGATTAATCAATGAATCGAAAAAATAATCGCTAGATAATTGTTTATCCCAGCCCTAATTCCCACACCCAACAAAATGATGGCGAACTGGCAGGAATTGCCCCAAGGTGGTCCCATTATAAAGCCCTGCTAGTCTCCTCTTCAGAACAAGGCATGGCAAACGAAGCTGTTTAGGATTGATTCAAATCTCATCAAATCTGACAGTACTATAGACTCATTGTTTCATAACTAATTTTAACCATGATGCTGTGAATAATCTGCTTCGAAGTGCCTTGTGCTTGTTCTCCCGCAGCTGTTCCATGCTTCCATCCATCTATCGTAATCACACATGGACCTTCTCTGTGCTACCAGCTGCGTAGTTAGAAAAATCTGAGGGTGCACGGTCCTTGCAGTGATCCTTGCGTTGGTCACGTTACATCAGGGCCTTGGCAAGCGCAGCAAAGTGCAAGTATACATAAGCCTAAATATGCAGTCGTTGTCTTGAATTAGAAGTTTGTGCAGCAGGACGAATTTCAGCTGACTCACATTAGAGCAGGGAACTCTGGGAGAGGAGTGGCTTCGAACAGCAGCGAGAGTGCAGTCTGGACGCTCTCTCTGTGATGGGAAGTCAGCGCCAACGACAACGGGGTCACAATCCTCTGGTCCTAAGCAAAGCACCAGGGGAATGATGTTATTTATGCAAACATTACTTATTTAGGTGTGAATCTATCTGTTTCTTCGAGAATTAAAAACCATTTGAAGATTATCTGAGCTGTAGTAAAACATTCACATACAGTACATTTTTCATGGTGTATAAATTTGCATTTCCTCACCTGCAGCATCTTGTAGAAACTCGTCACCATGTCCTTCACCTGCTGTCTGAGTTTGCTCATCAACTCCAGAGTTTTTAAAAGGGCTTCAGAACTGACTTGACTAGAAATGAATGTCAATAATTAATGTTTTTGTGTAAGCAAAACATTAGCAAACGCATTATCTTTGTTTGATACAGAACCTGTGTCTGTGAAACAACAGTTATTGCCATCGTCTGGATCGTACATTCAAAAGTTAAATGTATGTCCAATGCCAGTTCTATACAGTGTTTCTTTTTTTCGTCTTTTGAAGAAGAAACAGAAGTGGTGCACTTTGGTAAAGTAATACCAGTAATGAAATACAAAAACAAAATGCTGTCTTATTATTTCAAAACACCACTTGCCGCAGTGTATAGCCAGACACATTTCACATTAAGGCTTGACTCTCCCTGTAAAGAGTAATCTGATATCTGTCAATCCAAATGATGCAGCAGGGTAATCCCTACGGCTCTGAAAAAGCAGCTTGAGACCAGGGTTTAGGAAGTAAACCATCATTCAATCAAAGTTCAATCAATCAATGCGGTCAATGTTGAAGTAGGAGTCAAATGCAGAATTTCTATCATGAGGATAGACAATGACTAGTTGTATTACGAGTGATACTGACCTGAGGCTGTCAGAGGGGGGGGCAGGGCAGGTGAGAGGGCTGTTGTTATGGCAACAGGCTAGCAGCTCCTCCACCTGTGAGAGGCAGAGCTGAGCGCTAACCTGCTCAGAGACCAGGGTGCGAGTGGAGTCCTCCACACACAGCAGTGAGGCATTAAGGAACGTGAAGCAGGACATCACATGATCAATTCAAAAATCAAATAACTTTATCAATAAAATGAATTCATCCTGATTAAAACATGAGTTAAAGGATATCGAGCAGGAGGCTGGTTACGAGTGTGATGCGGGTGCAGTGTTTTTTGAGCTGAGCGTCTCCTTCTGCAGAGCGCAGGCCATGAAGCAGCTCTAGCAGAACAGGAAGTAACATTTCCACATAACTCAGGACACAGTCAGCCACCGAGTCTGTGCCCAGAGCCTCCTGCGAGGGCAGAGGACGGAAGTGTTAAACTATATCTGTATGTAGCTTGCACACTGCTATTCCAATGTCAGAAGAAAATCCAAGGCAAATATGAGAAACATTAATAACATTTTTTGTATATTTCTAATACAATAAATAGTTTATTAGACTACAAGCAATAAATAATATTTTATAACCTGTTGGATGTTTAAAAAAAATTGTTTTTGCTTTCATAATATAACATGAAGATAATACATATATTAGATATAGACTGTCCTTTGAGTAATTATTTGGTTGTTGCATCTCACCTCCAGCAGTTCATGTAGCAGCTGCAGCGCCTGCAGCGTGCGTGCCTCTGCTCCTTCCACAGTGGAGCTCAGACACTGGACCAAAGCCACTCCAGACTCCTTCACATCCGTGTCCTGTCCCTGCCTGCGCCCCACCCGCAGTTTAGGGGCAGCTGGTTTGAAGACCACCTCACAGAGCAGTGAGCGCAGACCAGAGATGTGGCACATTGACAACAACAACTCCAGCACCTGAAAAAACACACAAATATAAGACTCCTCATAATGGTCCTGTTGAGTGACTTCTTTACTGACTGCTGATTCAATTCATTTGCACCAGTTGCATTATTTCAATGATAACAACCAAGCAAATTGTCTACAACAGTTTTCTTTGTTGATATATCTCAGATCTATTGCAGTTGGATCTGAAATGGAAAACTGATATTCAGAAAATCAAATCAAAAGGGTTGATGGTAAGCCCCTCTGACTCACTGTCTGACACCATCTGGTCATTTGTCGTTATTGCTTGCTTGAAAATATCCACTGCATATACAGTACAGACCAAACTTTTGGACACTCTTTCTCATTCAATGAGTTTCCTTTCTTTTCATGACTATTGACTGTAGATATACACCCAGGCTGTGAAAGGGCTATTTGTGATGGGTGCTGGGCCAGATGACCCGGCCTCCAGTCACAGGACCTGAACCCAATCCAGATGGTTTTGAGGTTAGCTGGACCACAGAGTGAAGGCAAAAAGGCCAACAAGTGCTAAGCATCTCTGGGAAATCCTTCAAGACTGTTGGAAGGCAGCTGGGTGGGGGGTTTGTTGAGGGAGTTACTGCCCTCTTCAACTGGCCCGTTCTACACCTGGCTTTTTAATGCACCACACTATGCAGGGCTTACATCATACTTCACATATAACTCAATTAAACAAATATAATAATAATGATAATTAAACCCAAATTAAATTATATTAAGGATGGTAATGACAACTGGGAAGTAGCAAGATCTCAGAGTATAATATGTATTATTGCACCTTTATAACATAAAAGTAGCATTCTTTTGTTCTTTATTTTGCTGTTGTTTTTATTTTGTTCTGGTTCATCATTTATTGTTACTTTGCCCTATGTTCCTTTGTTTATGATCGGCTATCTTGTAAATATTAAATGTAATGTTATTATTTTTATTTTGCGGTGGGCGCTTATAAGCCTTTGGCTTCAGCCCACTCCCTTTGAGCAGGTTAACTGCTCAAACAAATAAACTAAACTAAACTAAACAAAGAGTGTGCGAAGCAGTAATCAGAGAAAAAGGTGCTACTTTGAGGAACCTAGAATATAAGACATCTTTTCAGTTGTTTCATACTTTTTTTTAGTACGTACAAAATTCCACATGAGTTAATTCATAGTTTTGATGCCTTCAGTATGAATCTACAATTTTCATAAACATGAAAACAAAAATCTCTTTGGTCTGTACTGTATATACACACACACCAAAAAAGCATCAACCTCTAGAGCAGAACAGTGGTTGATCATTAATTGTACTGATTTTTTACGCATACACTTTTTTTTGCTTTTATCATTGTCCAGTAGGTCTTTGTTTTGTATATTGTAGATTTGGAAACAAAAACAAACAACCGTAGAATCTGATGTGGGTTATTTTACCTTTGCAGCTGCCTCAGGATCTTTTGAATGTAAAAGTCCCAAAACTTTGGAAACACAAACTGAAAAGTGCTTATACCTAGGAAATATAGAAGATAAGTATATTCAATAGAGCATTAAATCTGGCATACAACAAAGTAAAATTCTACTAACAAAGGAAAAGAATGTATATATATACACAATACTATTACCTTGTGAGATAATCGGCAATCTTTGCATTTTTCAGAAGGTCAACAAGAAGGTCAACAGCGTATCTACAAGTGTCTGTGCCATTTACCACCAGGTTGAAGACGAGCTGAAAAGTCTGGTGGATGTTCTTTGCATCAAAAAGCTACAAATAAAAAGTGGGTATTTACGTAATCCAAGCCGCTGAACAGACAGATACTTCTACTCCTGTATGACTAGTGTTTTAAGACATACCTTCTCTCCAACCTTCTCATTCATTGTGAGACTGGCCAGAATAGACAGAGTGAAAACCACCACCGTCAGACTGTTATGAGCCAGGAAGTTTATCAACGTTCGATAAAAAGGCTTCACATCCTCCTACAATGAAATAAAGCAGTTAACATGTTTAACTATACAACATGTGATACAGTTTTACATTATACCTTTGTCAGCATTATATAGAAATCTGACATTAACGGAAAAAAACTGTCATCTGGCTTTTTCCAATTTAAAACCATCAAATAGTATCGCATAAACATCCGTACTTTCTAGATTATAAGCCGCACCTCCTAAATTTTGAAAGGAAAATCAATTTTGTTGAGATACAGACCGCACTGGAACATAAGCCGTAGGTTTTCATGTTGTAATGTGGCAGAGAGACGACTGTTTTAACTGTACATAACATGATTAAATGAAAACTTGATTTTAATGGAAAAGTGTTTAAAAGCTTCACCGTTAGCTTCAATCACTCATTCACCCTCTTTGACAAGAAACAAGTGATGAATGAATCCATATACTCTGCACAACTCTACCACAATAAAAATTGCATTGCATATGCATATTAGACATATTGCTGTATAAGCCGTAGGGTTGAAAAAACTACAGAAAAGTAGCGGTTTATAGTCTGGAAATTACAATACTTGAGGAATGTCTTGAGAAGTTGAACTTGAGTTAACGGGACTTACCAAAGACTTGATATGGCTTTGTACAGAATGATTATCTCGACAAAGATTTGCCATGAGGCCAAGACAAGGAATGACGAGCTCATCGTTGAGGGACTGTCTGTGAAAATAAAGACACATCCGAACAGTTGAAATCCAAGAGATACTGTATTTGTGACAGTTGAGGCCATGGGACCACTGACTCACATATTGGTCATGAGGAATGTGATGAGTTCGTGGAAGTAGTTCATTGACTGAAAGATGCGAGTGTTGTAAGTCAATTTTTGCAACACCCGGAGACACTGAATGAAAGACGAAACAAAATTATAGATATTTGAATATTTTGATGACTGGAAACTAATAGAGCTAGCTAGCGCAGATAGCTCGAACTCCTCTGACCTGCAGTACCAGCGGTTCTCCGGGGGTAGAGCTGTGACTGTGGATGATGGATGCCAGGGTGCTTGTGAGGCTGTAGCTGCGGTGGAGCATCTCTCGACTCTCATCATCACAGGCTTTTGGAAAAAGAAATCATCACAACACCATTACAAGGCTTCTATTTGATTACCAAAACAGTTGTCAATGTCACAACTCAATGCAATGTGCCTTACAAGTTTATACATGTTTTGAAATAAAATATATAGAAGCTGCTAGTTTAAAAAAAAAAATTGATATAGCAATGCGGCTAATGTATGCACTAAATTCCTTTGGGAAAAAATTTAACACATGAGCTGTTGGATCTCCAGTGCTGTTGTGTGTGTTATGGAATTAAACAGGTATGTGATTGGTATCATAACTGGAACTCTAAAAAGATTATATTTACTAGAGTTCTTTGATCATCACAAGTAAACTGTGCTTTAAAACACTTTATCAGAATATGTTGTGTCCATTTAAAACAGTCTATCAGCTTTGTTTTGCTCTTTAGCTGTTAGTTAAATGTTACATTACAACCTGAAAACATGCGGCCTATGTGGACAGAACATACTTTTAAAATGTTGTTAGTTTGGTTTATATACAGATGCATCAATTAGTCAAAGGAGTAATCGTAGCAACAAGCTCATGTCACTGCGCTGCCAAATGGAACATTTTAAGAGATTCTTTGTTCCTTCGGCTGTCAGACTGTGCAACAAACCTGTATGAATTTTCTGCTGCTGGACACCTGAATTTCTCCAACAGGGGATCAAAAAGGTATCTATCTATCTAGTCAAGCAAATTAAAATAATCATCATCTAAAGAACACATATTGAAATACTTCATGCGTCAGTTTCAGTTCCTTGCTGAACAATAATCCATAGAAGGCTGTAATGAGTAAAGTACATCCATCCATCCATCCATCTTCTTCCGCTTCATCCGTTGCCGGGTCGCGGGGGCAGCAGTCTAAGCAGAGACACCCAGACTTCCCTATTCACACACACTTCCTCCAGCTCGTCTGGGGGGACCCCAAGGCGTTCCCAGGCCAGCTGTGAGACATAGTCCCTCCAGCGTGTCCTAGGTCTTCCCCGGGGCCTCCTCCCGGTGGGACGTGCCCGGAACACCTCCCCAGGGAGGCGTCCAGGAGGCATCCGGAACAGATGCCCGAGCCACCTCAACTGGTTCCTCTCGACGTGGAGAAGCAGCGGCTCTACTCCGAGCTCCTCCCGTGTGACTGAGCTCCTCACCCTATCTCTAAGGGAGCGCCCAGCCACTCTGCGGAGGAAGCTCATTTCGACCGCTTGTATCCGCGATCTTGTTCTTTCGGTCATTACCCAAAGCTCATGACCATAGGTGAGGGAGGGAACGAAGAGCTTTGCCTTTCGGCTCAGCTCCCTCTTTACCACAACGGTCCGATACAGCGACCGCATCACTGCGCACGCTGCACCAATCCTCCTGTCAATCTCACGCTCCATCCGTCCCTCACTCGTGAACAAGACCCCGAGATACTTGAACTCCTCCACTTGAGGAAGGACCTCCCCACCCACCTGAAGAGGGCAAGGCACCTTTTTCCGGTCAAGCACCATGGCCTCAGATTTGGAGGTGCTGATTCTCATCCCAGCCGCTTCACAATCGGCTGCAAACCGCTCCAGTGCATGTTGCAGGTCCTGGTTCGTTGGAGCCAACAGGACGACATCATCCGCAAACAGCAGCGATGAAATCCTGTGGTCCCCGAACCGGACCCCCTCCGAGTAAAGTACATCAAGAACCAAACTAACTCAATAATTGAAATTGATTTTTTTCCAAGGATAGACTTGTGCTATTCTTAATATCATCTTGTGCTGTGTTTGGGTGCTCCTTGTTCATATTGTTCTGTAACCTGTAATGCAACTTTGCAATACAAATAATCTAAAAAGTTTAAAAACAGTTGTCAACTAACCTAACCTTACATAGACTAGACACATGCTATTTTATGATTCCAATAATAATTCAAAAAGCATCACTAGATTTAAATGTATTTCAGAAGCAACTAACCAATAAATCAGAAGAATAACAGGCCTGTCTAATCAATTATCAACATAATCAGAGGCCTAACCTGTTAGTTTTGTACAAGCATATATTGTGCAACTGTTGAAATTAACACATCCAATTATAATGCTTACCCTAACTTCACAGATGCACATATGTACAATACAGTTTCTATGTCTTATTACCCAGCTGTTCTAGTAGAGAGACAATGCAGCTAGTCAAGGTGAGGCTGGTGTTTGGATTTCCAGCTAAATCCACAAGTCCAGTAACACATTCAGAGGGAAGATTCTGTCCTGAGGTTAGCAGCTGCTCAGAGGGAAGAGTGGACACCTCCTGAAAAAATAACATCAGCAGTTATAAAGGCCATGGAGTATTATGGAGACTTGAAAGCTCTTCCTCACAAGTAAGCTCAAAAATAACAATAACAATAGCAATAATAATAACATAAACAATAATAACAACAATAACAATAATAATAACAATAATAATGACAATGTATATCAGAGATGAAGAAAGCATGTTGATTTGTTCGCAACATTTTAATTTTATAAAACTTATTTTGTTGAGAGAAACAAACAACATTAAACATGAAATCATTAATTAATAAAGGTTTTTTTTTTTTTACTTTAACCGTCAATGTGTGTCTTGGAGTCTTTCAAGTAGACTCCAAGGCAGTAGAATTGTATTAGCTAATTTAAGAAAAACCTAAGTTAGGTACTCCAGCTTTAAACACTTCTTTTGGGGATTATATAATGTAACTAAAATGTTATACCTATAATTGTACAGCTACGAGCATTATAAATATTCATACAAGCAAAAAGACATATTTACTTCGACTTGTTTCTGAAGTTTGGCTGCATTTGTGGCTGTCCTGCTCTCCTTATATTGTCCGATCGCCAACAAGAGACATTTCATACGAGTAGTAATGTCCATCCTAAAGAGCGGCATAAAACAATAATCACGTTAAGCGACTTAACAAATAGCTAGAGGCACGAAGCAATATCTAACAGTCATGGTAAATAATGACTAGCAATCAAGCTAGCTTGTTTTTACTTTCGTTGTAAAAACAAATATTTGTATTACCTCACAACGCTACATAAAGAATAAACATCGGTAAGAATATGTTACAAACATATTCAGAAAATAATTAGAGATCTACCTGATTGATTTTCTTTCCACATTTAGAAGACAACAACAGCCTCTGGCCACCACGGAGCCTCCCGCTTCGCTTCAAACAGGACCAGTCCACTACAACGGGTGAGATGGAAAGTTCTGTGAGCAGACCTATGCTGCTTTTCTTGGTAATTTATATTTAAGACATTAAATATAATCATAAAATATAATTATGTAATCTTTTAAATAGGTTCTAAATAGGCTCTAAAATGTTAATGTTACGAAACCAACGTCATCCCTCCATGTTGGTTGCGTCCCACCCGTGTTTGTAAAATGTATGAGTAAAAACAATAAAGTGGAATCAAATTAAAGCCATTTTTAGGCCTTTTTAATATCATATAATTATATTGTGATGGTATAACAGACAATAAAATAATCCCAATAATAATAATGTACAATTTAAAATATTTAGCTTTCTTGTGATGTACACTGCATGCCATATGAGATTTAAAGTGATAGTGTGTAACTCTAAATTAATTCAAATTTTTAAGAATTGTAGTAAATTGACCTCTTGGCCTTAAATGTTGATATAAAATAAGTCATTTTATTAATTCTAATATTACAGTTAAGTCCCGCCTTCCCCCACGATGCCGTCCACGTTAACCAACCAAGTGATGCCAAGGGCTGTCAATCATCGCGCTGATGCTCGTAGCTCCGCCTCCGAATAAAGCCTCCATTAGGTTCTGAAACTACATGAAAACTGAACAAAGAATTCTGAACATCCGCGCTGAGTTACCTATCTATATACTGAACCTATATCCATAATCAGATCCTCTGCAGATGTGCCCTATAGTGTTCAATTAATGTTAATGGCTACTTCCGGGTTTGCTCTCTCTCTCTCTTTCTGACAAACTGCAGACAATCACTTTAAAAACCTATGTGACCGTGCCCTCTAAGATTTCTAAGAAGACTCTACGTGGGATTCATCAACGCGCTGAATTGTTCGCAGCTGTTTGTTGGTACTGCTGGGCCGCTTGCAGACACCATTCAGAGGAAACGGCAACATGCCTAAAGCAAAGAGTGAATCCCTCGGAGCACAAGTAAAAAGAAAAAAAAAACATTAGCAGTTCAGAACTGGAAGTTCTACTGCAGGAGATCATGAGGAGGAAAAAGATCTTATTTAGCATCCTCAGTGCAGGTTACACCAACAGGAATAAAAAAGAGGCCTGGGCGGCTGTTTGGCGAGCAGTGGCAGGAAAGGGGCGTACAGTTGAGGAGGTGAAAAAGAAATGGTTCAACCTTAAATGTGAAACAAAATGAAACAACCCAACAGACTAGAGGGGGGGGGCAACAGACAAGACTATACACTAGGCTTTGGACCAGCGCATAGGGGAGATGGCACTCTCAGGTAAGCTATGGGAACAATAGAAATCACTTATGTATTTCATTTCAATGACGATTAAAATTTCCCATCTTACCTTTTAGGTCTACCATCAACTGAGTCTCTGGACACAGACGTGGGCCCTAATGCAACGCATGGGCCTCTGCTACTCCAGATGAATCACAAGGAAATTTCTTTTATTGTGTTCGTTGAATAATACCTTTCTATTTTTATATTTAAAACGCGTGCCTTGTAAGGGAGGAGTTTACCATAGTACGTAAGCTCAAATATGGCTTTAGTATTAAGGGTTGCAACCTTAACTTGATTTTTAACTGATCTTGGACGCAGAACTACACAATCAGGAACAGATAGCGGAGACGCTGGAGAAGATTGCTTCTACACTGGAAACCATACCTAAAACACTTACAGAGATGTATGGGAATTTCAAAAGAAAATAAAGATATGCACTGGAACTGGTCTGTCCTCATATTTGAAATGAATCCCAGAATACTGTTATATCTAACTTTTTATATTTCAACTTTATTCAGAAACGGGCAATCAACTGTTCTCGAACATGAACAGCCTGCAGTCTGGTCCCATCATTGCGTCAGGGCCAGTCAGGGCGCACATCCTCACGGTGTAGCGGCTGAGGGGGAAGTGGCACACCACGCTTTATCGCGATGTTGTGCAGGACACAGCACGCCATGATTATGGCCGACAGTGGCTCAGTTGGTAGAGCATTGGCCTTTGGCCCAGAAGGTCGTGGGTTTGAGTCCACCACGAGACCTTCTCCACCGGCTCCCATTGATGTCTGCTGTTGTTGTGTCCTTGGGCAAGACACTTAACCCACTTTGCCTATAAGAAGCGTGGAAGTGCTCATCTGAGTCCCAGCAGGAGGCCAGTCCCTGTGCTCAACAGAGTCCCAGCAAGAGGCCAGTCCCTGTGCTCCTGGAGCGACTTCTGTCAGGTTTGAAATCGTATAAACCGATTCCAAATAGGTGTGTTCATGGCTGATAATGGTCTACTAGGTCTGATATATCTGAGCATATTACACTAATGTGCAGTACGAGGGTCTACTCTGATCAGATCCCTCTGGAATCCCTCCTTCCAGAAATGCATGCGCAACACTCACAGAGACAGAGGACAAGTCCCAGGTCATCTCTTGGGTGTGTTCTTCTCAAAAGGGTGTGATTTCTGAAACATTTTAGGACAGTTGCCAAGGCGTCTCCTTGTGGGTGTGACGCTGTATAAACTAAAACGCTTCCAGCAACTTCTTTGCAGACGCAGCCCATACTTGGCCTGAAGAAGAATTGGAGTAAGTATTAATCTTTTTACTTTTTTACTATTGTTGAATTATTTCAATAATTCATACATTCTTCTTTGCATAACTTTTACGTCTCAGGATCATCCAAGGAGCAAACAATAAAACAGGGCTATAGTACCAAGATTTTTTTTTTTTTATGTGTCTAAGTTGCACGAGGATTCAAACCAGATTGTGCCAAAGTGAATTGTAAACTTCAATGGTTTTTATAAACATCGAGTAAATAACTGAACGAGTGTATTGTACCAAATGTATGGAAGTTATACATTAATCTTTTTATCAGCTGTATAAACTTTATAGGATTTGTGCATTTCAGAAAATGGAGTCTGAAACAAAGATTTCCAAAGCAAACACCAAATTCTCACTGGCTTTGTTTAAAAAGCTGAAAGAGGAATTGGAAGACAAAGCTGGGAATGTGTTCTACTCCCCGTTCAGCATCTCTGCAGCTCTGGCGATGGTGATGCTGGGAGCCAGAGCAAACACCGCCACACAGATGTCGGAGGTAAAACACACAGCTTATGTTCGAAGATTTCTGTGTACATAGAAGAAAATGGAAATCAATACAGCTTTTCTCAAATTATATTACCTCTGCTACACAAAGTATTTGCAGAATCAACACAGTATAGTAAAGCATTAATAGTCAAAACACACCTGCTATTTCTATGTTTTATTGTATGTTGTAATATCTGATCCAGTTTCCGTTTTCTGTCCATTCCTTATTGAAATACAGTTGAAGATGTTACAATGTTTAAAAGTCATGCCCCCACCATAGGTCTGTGCAAATGGACCCATAGATGTTATTAAGTGTGATGGGTTGACATTTGAATTAGACAATCAAGTTTATTTATATAGAATAGTTCAACCACAAGGCAACTCAAAGTTATTAACAAAACAAGAAAGATTAAAAAGCCATGACTCAAATTGTACTGCTCTTTACCCACCCAGTCTGGTGAAATGTTGGTATAATTCCATGGATATAACCAACATGGTGGAACTTGTCTGGAACAGTGACTGTTACTGTTACATAAGAAAATCATGGAATGAGTTCATATTGAACTTGGCGGCTATTGTTTAGGGAGGCAACAACAATAATTACCTGAAATTAGTCACTGAGATAGTTAAGGAATAGAACAAACACATTTTTGTTCCATTCTAGTTACATTATCTGTGTTACTGAAAATGAATTGCATTTCATATGTACAGTATGCACTAATGATAAGAACATCAATACCGACTTTCATATTAAATGAATACTTACATATTACATACATGCTTATTTTGTTATTATCGGGTGGTTGAAAATCAGTGTTTTGTTTTATTACGAGCTATGGTTAGTGTTAGCAACCAGCATTTTTTGTTATGGTGGTTACAAATGAAGTGAATGATCGGATGTGGGTGTGTATCAGTCATGTTATTGTTTATTTTACTCATGTAGCGAGAGACTGCAGATGGAAACGACCTGGTGAAGAACACATCTGTCTTTAATCTCATAATGTTTGAAGTAAATAAACTTCTTGTGATGAAACATGCATTACATTTTCCTGTGTCCTCCAGGTGCTGCGCTTCTCGGAGCCCGAAGCCCTGTGTCCAATGCAGACTGACCGGCCGTACCTCATGCAGTCGCAGATGCAGACGCGTATGCAGATGAGGACGCAGATCCAGAGAACCAGCCGTCTCCCTGATTACATCCGCAAGGTGCTCAAATGAAAACACATTCCATGAACGCCATCAAACCAATGCAATAACAATACTTTCCTTCTGTTTCCGTCATTTCTTTGGTGACACCCTTCCTGTAAGATGCTGGTGTATTATTGTTTCATTCATTTTCTCTCTCCTCTTTTGTAAAACTATGCAATGGTAATACTGTGTAACAGTTGTGTACAGGATGTCTTGAGCTGGGGTATGGTTATTGGCCACCAATCCATGCATATTGAGAATTGGATTGGACAGATGCATGTCTCCCACATATTTCCTATAAACAGAATAGATTCAGAATGGCATCAATATATACATCACTATAGAAGTATCATAAAAGCTGTCAATAAAACCGTATAAATATTTTTTTTATTTTTATTTTTTTTACGTGATACATAGACATACATAAAAGTGATACATAGACATACATAAAAGTGATACATAGACATACATAAAAGTGATACATAGACATACATAAAAGTGATACATAGACATACATAAAAGTGATACAATAAAACCGTATAAATGAAATTAATTATAGAATATTAAAATGAGAATTTCGTGTCTGCAGTTAATAATCTTACAAAGATTAAAGAATCAACCTACCTCATGTATTCTGATATAAAACTGCTTTTGGTGACATCTTGTGGTCACTTTTGTCAGAGACAGTTTATAAGTTTTATGTAAATGTTATTATTAATTTTGAAATCCCTTCATGCTGTCTCATTAAAGTGATCCGAATTTTGACTAGGATCTCACAAATCAGTAGGTTTTCTGTGGCTGTTCACAGTGCCTTAAACCTGATGACGCGAAGGACGATGTGGACTTCAGCTTTGAACAGTTGTTTGTTGAACTTGACAAACCTGATGCACTGTACGCCTTGGCCATCGCCAACAGGTTGTATGGGGAGAAAACCTATTCATTTGATGAGGTTGGTGTTTTTGCTACATATTGTAAGTTATCGGCTAAACCTGCCCTTTCACAGTTCATTACTTTAAAAGATTGTGAAAGCTTTTTGACTCATAATACCGTATGTTCATTCAAAATATTCTCTAGGATTTTTTGTCAAAAACAAAGAAACACTACAGTGCAGAATTGGAGCCTGTCGACTTTGTCACCAATGCAGAAACGTCCAGGATCCACATCAACAACTGGGTGGAAGAAAAGACTCAAGGTATGATCCTGAAATACTGACGGTTCTCTTCTCTCATTACAACACAGATCTGCCTGAAAAGCCTGCATTTTTAATGAGTTGCTATTTTCCATTTACACCACTCCCAAATCCTAACTTGGTAAAATTCAGATTACTTTTTTTTTTCAAACAGTCTTCCTGAAAGTATGAGACAAGCTTCTACTTGTTTGTGAATTAATACTTTATTTTGAGCCATGGCAGACAAGAACAAAGAACAGCAACAAAAGAACAGAATAGAAAAAAACAAAATCAAATGAAACAATACAATACATATACAGTATGTTTTCTTCAATTAACAAAAGGTCAGCTCGAAAAGGAGTGGGAAGAAGTTAAGACTTTTAAACTCCCACCACCTATTCACTATTCTATTTTAATTAACTTATATTATGTGGTTGCTACAAGATTGACCATTTTTGAATTTTATTTTATTTGTCTAATCACGTACATGATTTTAGGATTTCTGTGTATGAATTGTGCTAAACAAACAATCTAGCTATTCATTGACAACACTGTCAGACTATAGCTACACTTTTAGCTGAAATAATTCTGCTTTAACTGTCTATATTGTTGAGAAACTATTGTTCTTTTTGTTGTGTAGGTAAAATAGCGGACCTGCTGTCTGCAGAGGTGGTGGATAGTTCCACAAAGCTAGTGCTTGTAAACGCTATTTACTTCAAGGGCAAATGGAGCTCTCAGTTTAAAGAGGAGTACACGACTGACGCAGAGTTTCGACTGAGCAAGGTGAAGTAGATACGCTATTATTATTATTATTATTATTATTATTATTGTACTTCCTTAAACACTGAAAGTATCACAATATGCATTGTTTTAATGATCATTATCTCAACATTAGAACAGTAAAGTAGAAACATCAAATACTGTGCATTAAAGCAATTATCATACACAAAGTGTGATGATCTACAAGAACTCAGAGAGCAGTCAATGAGACTGCTTTTAGTCTTGGAAGTGTAATTATTATTACTTAGACCTTATTGGTAAACATAACTTTGTGACTTTTTCTGTATTTTTATGAAGTTTATGTCTAGGCCATTATTTTTTAATGAAATAATTAATAACTTTTAATTTTGAAATGTGAGGAGTTCTACCTTTAACTATATAGTTAAAGTTGAATTTTCTTTCCATGGCAGTTAAAGCCCTTTGTCATGATCCTGGACTGGACCTGGACTGGACCTGGACTGGACCTGGACTGAACCTGGACCTTCTATTAGACTGTCACTTGGGAAAAGCAAGTGCTGATTACCATACCAACACACTGTTTACTGTCGGCAGTTAGCATTTGGTCGTTAGCATTAGCATCAGCTTTTCAACAAACGTTTTCGTCCGTTATAGCTCTGAGTAAAACATGATATTACTCCCCCAAGTTTTATTTTTGAAATAATAAAACATACTTTGGTTTGAATGGGAGCAGTCGTGATGACGGCTCTTGCAGGTCTATGGAATACAGTCCTCTCTGTTTGAACTGCACCATTCGCTCTTGAATATTATTAATTTGCTACTGTTTGATTCTTGTTTTTTCAGACAACAACAAAACCAGTAAAAATGATGATGCTGGAAACAGAATTCCATTTCAGTTTTGTAGAAGAGGCAAACTGCAAGGTACCTGTGACTTTCTGTATTTGAAAGCCAGATCCGGTCAGACCTTAAAACCTAAGCAAGGCAGAACCTGGTCAGTACTGTGATGGGAGACCTATGGGAACACCTGGTGCCACAGTGGGGCGGCTGCGAGGTGCCAATCTGGCGTTGTGTCCTTAGGCAAGACACTTCACCCCCATTAGAATGAGTCTGGTGTGTGTGTGAATGCTCACTTTTGACAGTGTTGCCCAGAAGTAGTTTATCACCAACGTGTTTGGAGTGAATGGGTGGGGTGACAGTAACTGAATTGGTAGAGTATTGGCTTTTGGGCCTGAAGGTCGTAGGTTCGAATCCACCACGAGACCTACTTCACGACTCCCAATGATGTCTGCTGTCGTGTGTCCTTGGGCAAGACTCTTAACTCCACTTTTCCCAAAGCCCCCGCTGAAACATCTCAGCTCCTGTGGACTCACCACCTGCAGGAGGATCAGTGAGGGGCTGGTGCTCTGCGTACTGGGTGCAGCTCTGTCTGCCACCCCCAGACCCAGAAATGGATTAAGGGGAAGGATGGATGGTGTTTGGAATGAATGAATAATGAGATGTGAAGGGTCTTTGAGTGTCCAATTATTGTTTAACCCTGCGGCACATGTTGCATATAGAAAACAGATTTACTTTATTTTTGACAGATTGTAGAATTACCATATGAAGGAGATGACCTGAGTATGATCATAATGTTACCAAACGACATCGAGGATGAAACTACCGGCTTAGAAAAAGTAAGAAGACTTTGTTCATTTGTAATTCATTTTTATTGCAAAATGTTTTTCTTTATATATTTTTTTTAGTTGGAACAAGAAATGACTTATGACAAGTTTAAGAAATGGACCAGTCGGGATCAGATGGCGTTTGTTTCAGTGGAAGTGAGTCTGCCCAGATTCAAAATGGAGGAGAGCTATGACCTCAACAACGTACTCATTTCTATGGGCATGACGGACGCTTTCGACATGTTAAAAAGTGACTTTTCTGGTGAGATATTTAGGCTTGCTATTGTTATTTTCCTAAAATATTCCTCATAAAACTAACAAAATGTATGTGACTTTAACTCTAACATTTCATAATTAGATTGAAGAGATGTGGAGATTTTGTTTGCTAAAAACTCACGGGGACTCCTCATTTGACAACGATTCCAATGGGGACAGTAGAATTCCTCATGGCCTCATTCAATGCTTAACAAGTAGATTATTAAAAGTGAGCATGCAGTAGTACAGCATCTGCATAGAAGGGAACGTGATTTTTTTGTGCCATTCAACCAAATGTTGTTGTTTTCTCAGGCATGTCTTCTGCCAACGACCTGGTTCTGTCAAAGGTGGTGCATAAAGCATTTGTGGAGGTGAACGAAGAGGGGACAGAGGCGGCTGCGGCCAGTGGAGCAGTTATGACGGAGAGAGCGGCTATAATCACAGAAAGATTCACTGCAGACCATCCATTTCTCTTCTTCATTAGACACAACCGCTCCAACACGGTCCTCTTCGCTGGACGATTCTCTTCACCTCAATAAGTCTCACGTTTTAAAGTCGTTTTAATATTGATGCTGAGAAAAATATATTTATCTGTGTTGTTTGTGTATTTCCACATACAGTTCCTGATTCTTATTCCACAGTGCCATGAGTAGAGTTCCAATCTTCAGGACAATATATTTTCATAGACTTATGTCCTGCTATTTCAAAAGCCATGTATGTGTGTTTTTTAAGTTTAATTCACCTTTTTGGTGAATAAAACAAATAAAACATTCTGCTTGGGATAAATGTACAAGCACTGAACAACTTACAGGCACTGCAGTCTGCTGTGGACAACACATGAATGGTTTAAAGGAAAAGAATAAAAGGCTTATATCTAGAGTTGGTTTGATCACACTACGCTTACACACTTAAGAGATCTATAAATAATCCTGTTTTTAATGTTGCCATGAATAATTCATTTTTTTTAAACCTTTACATGAAACATCTTTTTATTTTTTATTTTATTGAACATACAGGTCAACTTTGCGCTACTGAGTTTTGATCAAGAATAAAAATGAAACCTAACTCTCAGCTATGAACTATTGTTGGGATGAATATATTGGTATTTTTTGTTTTTATTTATTTATTTGACAGACAGCACATGTTAATGAACAAATGGTTGAACTTATTGTCGTAAAAAATATACATTAATCTATATCCTTTTAAAGATTAACTGGGATTTTCATTCATTACATTTTAGTTGATATAGATTCGATATGTAATGTATATATTTTTTACAGGTTACACTGTGAGGAAAAACGTTTTGAAATGAGTTTCATAGTTGTCCACTAGGTGGCAGTGGCACGGACCACTTGTGTTGCACAAAGAGAGATCGATTGTACGAACTACAACTCACGTTTGTTTCTCTTTATTGCTTAATCTTAATCTTAGATGTTCTGCTCAGGACTCAGCAGAGGCCGCAGCACCACAGCCTGTTCGTCCTGCAGGTCGTGTTGTTCAATAAGAGACCATCCCAATGTTATAATGACTAATATAAATGACACCAAACATGATTTAGATGTTATATTGAAGAGTTTGAAAGTAATATTCCAAATGTTGCAGTCAGCGAACAAGCCTCGCGTAGCGTTGAAGGACAATATGTGGCCCTCGACATGTCTCTCTTTCTCATGGTCAGAAAGAAGGCCCCACTATCACCCCTGTACATCCATTTTACTATGTACTGACATGACTTCATGTGGACTCTGACTTCTTCTGGCCACTTGCCAAGTCCTGTACCTTTTGATAACGTCTCTTTGTATTTCTTACTTTTCATACAACAAACACTACTTTCAATTCCTTATTCAGAAATGATTACCTTGACCTGGCTGCATCTTTTCATTCATTCATTTTGCAAACCAATGTTTTTTAAACATTGCCTCCCGTTTCCATCATACATCATTTATCCTAATATTTCTGGAGTCTCTGCTCGACCCTTTTATAAATGTGGGAACATTTTACTTCCCGTTTTTCTACATTCAAAATATCTCCCATGATCTTAATTACAGCTTTTGAGAGCCTCTCCTTAAGGCGTGGCAATTTCTTAACTATAAAAACTGATCCTGAAGCTTAAGTTTGTTGAAGCCCTGAGCACTGCTGGTGAGTGGATTTATGATCTTGTCCATGATGTAGCTTTGCTTTTTGGGTAATGAATTGATATTTTAACTTCTTGGAGATAGGTCAGGTGTTCAGAGTTTAAGAGGTGGATGTGTAACTGCTATTTGAAAAAAGAGAAATGCTGCTAGACTTTTTTACTAATAAGAAATTACTGTACAGTAGCTTTGTTACTGTTTCACAGAGGGCCCTGCATCTTGAGATTATTGGGTTTTTTTTCTTTACATGATTCACTGTAACTTCAAAGTTAGTCTCATAGGTTTGGTGTATGGGTTTCCACATACAGTAGTTAAATGGTGACAGAAAAGCCATCTTCCTGTGGACCCACCACCTGCAGGAGGATCAGCGAGGGACTGGTGCAACGAGACTTGGGTGGCAGCTCTGATTGCCACCCCCCCCACACCCAAAATGACATGACATGAGTTAAACGGTGGTCTTTCTCTACCATAGACACAATGGCATCTGAAACTCCGTTGTCCAAAGCAAACACCAGTTTTGCCCTGAATCTTTTCAAAGTCCTGAGTGACAATGATCGCACCTCCAATGTCTTCTTCTCTCCTCTGAGCATCTCTTCGGCTATAGCCATGGTCCTGCTCGGGGCCAGGGGCAACACAGCTACTCAAATGTCTGAGGTAAGTTACACACAAAGCATTGATTAGCTGAGCCACTGAACAAGTCAAAAAAACAACACAAAGTTACACACTATTTCCATAGACATACATTGTACATTGCTGAGTGCACATAGACACTCATTGGGTTGTGTAATGGCTGCAGTATTGCAAATAATACATTATCTTTCCAAATAGTTTTGATCTGTACTCTGCAAAAAATAAAATGGAATAATATTAGTATTTTTAAAAAAATGCCAGAGAAAAATATTTAAATATTAAATTCAGAAATATATCAAATCCAGCAGATTCATATACACTTTATAATTGAAATAATTTATCATTAGGTTCAGCCCTAGATTTGATCCAGAAACCTATTTTTGTTCATCTGGTTTAGATTTGGTAATGAAAATTATACAGGACATATGCTTGGTGCGTATGATTTTAAATCCACTAAATGTGACTAAAAAGTATTTCTCAAATAGATTAATTCTTGTAAACAGAAAAGACACGTTTTAACATCATGTTTTAATAGGCATATTTTAGTGTAATGTGGTTTCAGTGTGTTGATTATCAATGACATGCTACCAATGTATTGAACCTCCAGGTCCTCTGCTTCAAAGAAGCAGAGAAGCCTCCTCGGGCCAGAGCCATGCCGCAGATGCAAATGCAGATGCAGATTCCCCAACATCTGCAACAGTTACTGCCTCAGCATCTCAGGACAGGGGTAAACACAGAAGCTGAAGACTCTGGACATACTAACAGTTGTGGTGTGGTGACGGGACTTTAAAGGTACAGTTGAATTAAAAGACCTGAGAGCCATAGAGCTCCAGTCTTGAACAGTGCGCACCCAAAGCAAGGTTTTAAAAGTGTATTCCAGTGTGGTTTAACTGCAAATGACAAATGAGATGATTCTGAATTTAACTAGCTAAATGCACGTATGAAGTAGTTTACAGGATCTAGTTGAGCACTCTAATTTGACATTTACATGGGCCTGCATGCCTGTGCAAAACAGACCCAAACGATTTTACAAAGCGTTTGTTAATATAGCCAATTGTAAAATGGGAAACATTGTTTTGTTCTGAAATATTATTTTTAGTTTTTTCTGTCTTTCTTAATTTTTATTCTTTCATACAAATTCATCTACTTTTCATTCCCTAAATCCTAATGTAATCCTAATTCAAATCACAGCACTTAAATATTAAAACATATTTTTGCAACCACAGCTACAATCAAACCAGACCTAGCGATGGCAGATACAACCCAAAATGTGTTCATGAAAAATTAATCAAATCTGGACAATTAGCAACTCAAACTTGAACGCACTCCTAGAGTTTATATCTCACAGACTTCCCATAAAAACAGGCAAAACCTGAAACAGAGGGCGAGTTCACACGCTGAACTGCTTCAAAGAGTGTACTTGTCGAGCTTTTTCCCACCTCCAATCAAACCATTTAAACCAAACTCTCACACAACATCTACAGAAGTGGGTTCTCCAAAGGAAGCCAAGGACCTCTCAATGGAGACATTGAAATAACAAACTGAGAACTTTTAGTCATTTATACAGGGATGTAGTTCAACATTCTCATATGTCTTGTTACTGTGTTGCTCTGACAATGACAAAAAATATCCTATGTTTTGCCATGAAAGGGTATGCTTCAGCTCAGCTTTGCTTTTTAATAACATTGAACTTATTTCCCACTGTGCCTCAAAACTAAGGACCTGTCTGATGAAGTGCACTCCAGCTTTGGCTCCCTGCTGCAGCTGCTGAACAGGGCAGACGCGCCCTACGCCCTCAGTGTTGCCAACAGGCTGTACGGAGAGAAGACTTACCAGTTTGTTGAGGTGTGTGTCAGTTTCAGAGACAATTGAATCTATTCATCTTGTAAAAACAAAACTTTGACGGGGTCTTAACTTTTATTTCTATAATAAAAAACAATAAAATGCAGATTAAAGCATGAACATAACATCTCCTCAAAGGAAGTGACTGCAACTTAAATTGTATTAAATATTGAAAATAATACTTTTTATGGTGACATATTGTATTATCTAAATGAAGCCATTATCAAAACAAGTATATTTTGGAAAAATGCTGGAGGAGAGAAGCTCGGATTTAATTTAATTGTGACCAATCAGGCCTGTGACGGTGCATCTCACTGGTGCCTGCAATCTAAAAATATCTCCAGTTTTCACAGCTGAAACTTTCAAAGTTACTCAAAGGCACAGAAAAATGACCCCCTGACCCACCTTTTATTTCACAGGTATAATGTACTGTGTTTTGTTTCCTAGGATTTCCTGGAAGGCACCAATGAGCACTACAATGCAAAGTTAGAGTCTGTGGACTTTAAAAATAATTCTGAGGAGGCAAGAGTCAGAATTAATACTTGGGTACAAGAGGAAACACAAGGTAAAAGAAATAATAGATTTCTGTTGTATTGTATTGGTTCATTCTCTACTCTATAGTAATGTACTAATATAGTAATGTTCATATGTGTTTAAAATATGGCAGGTAAAATCCTGGACCTTTTGGTCATTGGTGCGGTGAATGACTTGACAAAGCTGGTGCTGGTCAACGCCATTTACTTTAAAGGAAACTGGAACAAACAGTTTGACGAAACATCTACCCGTGATTATAAATTCAGGATGAATAAGGTGTGTTTATGTCAAAGATGGAATTAACTAAACCAATCTCATTCTAATTGTGTGCCATTCTTTAAAGATATTATATTGTACTGTATGCAAGTTTTATTTGGGATTTTCTTTGAAATAGTTGTTTGAAG